ACTGGGACTGGCGTGGCGAGCGGCGTCGGCGGCGAGGGGCTGCCGTTCCGCCGGGGCATCCGTCTGCTGGACAGCGGCTCCGTGGAGAACGTGCTGCAAGTCGGTAGGTGCTGCCCGGCCCCTCTCCGTCCCCTGCCTCTTCTGCAGGTGCCTCCCAAGCCCGGGATCGCAACCCCGGCTTTCTGCCCAACTCCTGTGCCCCCGCCGAAGGATAAAAAAGTCACATAAAAAACTTTTCCTAACGTTTCCTTCAGGTCCACTTCTGTTCTTTCCCCTCACCAGCTGCCCCATTTCTTTTTGTTTGAAGAGCGAATAGGGGTTCTCTCTCTCTCTCTCTCTCTCTCTCTCTCTCTCTCTCTCTCTCTCTCTTCATCCTATTCCCCATAAGGATGGGGAGATGGGTGCCCCTTTGGATGCAACAATTTTCGAAACGCGTTTTACTGATTTAAGTTTAGAGGCGAAGGGATCGTTAGTGAATCTGGAGAAATAGATCTTAGAGGGAGTATTTGAGGGACAGGCTGTCACAGCCAATCTGTAGTTACAGCAGATTGAATCCGGGTGTAATTAACTTTCACATCGGAAAAAAAACAACAGAATACTGTGCGTTTTAGACAATTTTAATTGTCTGTTTTAATATTTTTCCCCCTGGCCCAATAATGCTTGGGAACCTAGGCTGCAGATTAACAATAACCGAAGATGGAAATGTGACAGCTTCTCTTCTCTACACCCCCATCCATGGGAAAGGGGGAAAAAAGCCACACAATCTGGAGTGGGGGCGGGGTCTGCCTTCCTTGTCAGACTGGGGTAAATCAAAAGCCAGTCACGTTGGATGTTTCAAATGCTTTTCATTTAACACGTCTTCGATTCGCTTTTGTTTTATCTTTTTGTTTGTACAAAAATGGAAACTGGTTCCTTTCATCTACTCTTTTCTTGAGCTTCCAGTTAGTTTGTTAATCTTTTTAAGTATTTAACTAAAGTGTACCTGATTTGTGGAATGATCAGGGAGAAAGGAAAAAACGACATTGTTTAACATTGATTTGCTATGCAGAATATTAAACCACTTTTGAGGCCTTTTGGATTATTATAGTATTCTGGGAGTACATATCTTTATGTATTTTATTGTACTGTATATGCTTCTATTTACTAAAGGCAATACTGATTTTTCTAAAGGAGTTGAAAGGAGGATGTTTCACAGGGGCAGGCACGCATCCATATACAAACCCAAGCATCTAGCTCTCTTTGGCCAAGGTAAAACCAACATATTTGGAGTTATTTCCCTTTGAAAACTGGTACATCACAGTGTTTTATATAGAACAGTCTGCTTCCAGTTATTGAACGTGAATGAATTCTGTGTTTATTTTTTAAAAAACATACTATAATTCTTAAGTAAATGTAAAATGCATATTTATTATGTGCCTGAATATAGGGACATTGGATTGAAAAGTTATGCTTATTTGAAAGATATCAGTGTTTTGTGTATACTTTAGAAAGAATGAGTTGGATAAATGGGTGATTATGATATACAACTTTAATATTGAAATATTGAAAATGAATATGGTTCATTTTGTTAATTTCTAAGCTTTAATCTTTCTGAGAGTTCAGAGCAGTTAACGTTGAAAGATTCTTATTTAAAACATTTTAAATTGAAGAGTCAGTTTAAGTGGTTGTCTTAGGGATAGAAATGGATTTGAAAGCATTTCAAACTTGAAGGGAGCAAACAGGGCAGAAGAGTTTCTGACCCTTCCCCCACCTCCCAGTGCTGGGGATTGAACCTAGGGCCTCTGGCATGCTAGGCAAACACACTACTACTGAGCTGTAACTCTAGCCCCAAGAGGTACCTATTTTTAGAGTGATTAAAATGTCAAGTTCCAAGTGAAATCAGATTTAGAGGATGATCCAGATCATATTCAAATTACATACTCCTCTTTTTGTGTGAGAGTTGGTGTATGGGGTAATGGACGTGTACATAATCATTTCAGGGACCCCAAGAAGGACACAAACAAGCATTGTCTCATTTATTTGGATTTCATAGATAAAGAATGAATTACACTGTATTTGAGAACCAGGTGCTTTGTGTTTTTTATTTCTCTGACCTTAATTTGTCCTAGTAAGTATGGAAGAAGATATCTCATCTCATTATTTAAAGCATTTTGACATTAATCACCTTGTAATATGAAAAACTAGAAACCCATCCCTCTTAATGTTTTGTGTGACTTAATCCAGATGATCAGTTTTCTAAAAGCATTGCGAAGAGATCAGTGAGTCATTTGCATATAGTCTGATAGTAAATCTTGTTCTCTAGCTTAGAACATCACTTTGAACTCAGTGTGATTCTTACATCCCACTAAGAATTCTCTGTATTTCCTTAGTGTTTCCAAGTCATATTATGATCCTGGAATGGGGGGTTGTAAAAGGTAGAAAGGAAGAAACTTCCAGACAGTTCTATAATAACTGCATTTTATTCTTTTAATTTTGTTTTAAAGGTTTATTTTATGTATACATGCGAGTGCCTAGATGTCTGCTGCCCATGGAGACCAGAAGAGGGTGGTGGAACCCCTGGGACTGGAATTATAGGCAACTGTGAGCCACCATGTGGGTGCTGGGAACTAAACCCTGGTCCTTTGCTAGAGCAGAAGTGATCTTAACTGCTGAGCCATCTCTCCAGTCTTAAGTTTTTACTCTGTAGATCAGGGTGGACCCAAACTCAAGTCAATCCTCCTGCCTCAGTATCCTAAGTTCTAGGATCGCAGACATGAACCACCAAATTTTAAAATCTTTTAAAAGATTCACAATGGAAAATTTTGAAAGGTATTTTTAATTTTTAATTACTTGAGTCTGTGTGTATGGGTGCATGTGAATACAGATGCCTTCAGAATAGGAGAGGGCAGGTCAGATCCTCAGGAGCTGGAGTTATAGTGGTGTGAGCCACCCCATGTGGGTGCTGGGAACTGAGCTAAGGACCTCTATAGGAGCAGGCATCAAGCATTCTTAACCAATGAGCCATCTCTTCAGCCCCTTATAATGTGTTTTTGTTTGTTTGTTTGTTTTTGCATAACAGAGTATACTCTTGTAAAACCAGCACTCGAGTGGCAGCAGGAAAATCCTGAGTTTGAGGCTAGCTTGATTACATAGTAAGACTCTCACAAACCAACAAAAGCACAACACACAGAAGTTTTTACAGAAAATAAAAGCAAACAAAACTTTTATGAAGACTATATAGGTTAAATTCTGTTTCTTCACATTACTTTCCACAGGTAGACTAAATTCTGTAACTTCTGAATACTTTCCACTTAGAATCACTAGTAGAAGTCAGTATGCATGGGCGCTCTGTAGAAAACATCACATTTTGAATGAGAACTAAAACTTCCTACCTTGATGTCAACAAAAAGGAGAAATGTAGGTTTATTATGTTTAAAGATACATTTCTTTACATAATAATACTGACTCAGAAAAAAATAATACCGATTCAGAAGAATTGTTCCTTTTAAAAGGTAAAAATTAGTCTTTTCATGTATTTCTCTAAGTTTGAAACTGTGTTAATAAATTTGCAATCTGATCCCTCAGTGTTATGATTTTAAAAATGTTTTATTTGTGTTTTCAATGGATGCCAATACTACCTTGTGTGGGACAGTTATAACTACAAAGCTAACGGTTGTGGTAGAAGTGGACAATTTCAGGAAATTATCCACAATTGAAGTCTATAATTATGTATACTTGTGTATCATCAATAAAAATATCTATGAAGTTTCTTGTGAATCTTAGCAAGTATAATAACTGTTCTTTTTGTTGTTGTTGTTATTTGTTTGTTTTGTGATATCTAGAATGGAGTCCAGGCTAGGCAAGCACTCTGCTACTGACTAACACCTGTAGCTCGTTAATGAATTTTACATGAAATTAATTACTATATATAATATTGGGGAACACAAAAGATATTTAAACCTACTAGAAAGCTTTATAGTATCTTCTGTACACTCGAATAGAATAGGTAAAATTACAATAAAATTTTGTAATGGAAATGGCTTAATTTATATGGAGAATATCTCAAAAGGCAGCCGTATACCTTTAAGGAATATTTGGTGACATTAAATTTTCTTGTTTTTTGAGATAGGATCTTACTATGTATGCCTGGCTGGCCTGGAATTTGCTGTTTTTGTAGACCAGGCTGGCTCTGTACTCAGACAGATCTGCCTTTCTCTGTCCCACCAAGTACTGGGATCAAAGATGTCCCCCATTACATCCAACTCATTAAAAAAATAAAAATAAATTGTTACACTTATTTATTTGTGTGTGTGTGTACATTTATGAAATGATGTGAGCAGATATCAGAGGATAATTTATGGCCATAGGTTCTTTCACTCCCAGGTATCAAAGTCAAGTTATTGGCTGTAGTGCTAAAGCCTTTATCTGTTGAGTCATCTCCATGGTCTGGTAACTTTTTTTTTGTGAAAAAAGTTTATCAAGTTTTAAATCTTTTGTTTATTTTTTATTATTTATCTATTTATTTTCAGAGTGAGTTCTCTCCTTCCTCCCTTATTGTATACATGGAGTTTTAAATTTTTTTTTAATTTGTGTGCATATGCTATGTGTGCATGTAAATATAGAAGCCAGAGATCAGGATCAGGTATCATTCCAATACCTAGGAGAGCCTTTCACCTCTCCTCTCTTTAAAAAAAAAATATTTTTAAGTATTTTGTGTATGTGTGTCTGTGCAAATGTCAGTATGTACATGTGGGTATTGGTGTCCTTGGAGCCCAGAGGCATTGAATTCATTGAGTTACAGATGGTTGTGGGCTACCTGTCATAGGTGCTGGGACTTCTGCAAGAGCAGCATGTACTCTTAACTTCTCTCTAGCCCCCGCCTTGTTTTTTGAGACAAGCTCTTTTATTAAAAGCTGGGGGCTCATGGCTTAGGCTAGGTTGACCTGACCAGCCAGCAAGACCCTGGACTCTGTTTATTGCTGATTGCAAGTGCACCACCATGCTTGGCTTTCTCCGTGGGTGCAGAAACTTGTACTTGCAAGGCAAGCGCTTTACTGCATGAGCCATCTTCCTGGCTCTGTATGTGCATGTTAGTATTCAGTAGGTGAACGAATGAATGCTGAG